CACCCAGATCTTTGCTGGTCTACTTTAAATCATGGGTAAAGGCTAATGTTGAAATACTCACATAGTATTCAGCACAGTAGTGGCTGAATGTTTAGCCTTTAGAAAAGCTTTCTGAATGTTGTTTCTTTTCAAGATTGAGTTTTAAATACTTCTTAGGTGAAATTTTCAAACTTCAGGTCCTGTATTGGGCAGCTGAAGCTTGCTTGGAAGACCAGATTTTAGGTTGAGAAGTAAAAATTCTTACTTTTTGATCATGAACATAGCTCCCTTTGGGAAAGTCGTCTGAGTACAAGAATGTGGCTGGGCCAGGAATGTCTCTCCATAGTTCTGGGTTGCTCTAAAAGAAGCGGGCATGAATCAGCACTTGATCATCCTGAAATGTAACCTGTATCATGGACAAGAAGCCACTGTCAGGACAGAATATGGAGACAGAATGGTTTCATATAGGCAAAGGTGTCAGACAGACATGCATTTTATCTCCCTATTTATTTAATCTCTATGCAGAATATATCACAAAATTCAGAGGAAGGAGGGGTGAAAATTGGTAGAAAAAATATGAATAACTTAAGATATACAGATGACACGATCTTACTGGCAGAAAGTAGCAATGATTTCAAAAGACTTCTGATGCAAGAGAAAGAAGAAAGTACCACAGCAGGACTGCAAACGAACATCAAGAAGACAAAAATCAAGACTACAGAAGAAATACACAACTTTAACACAGACAATGAAAACATCAAAATTGTTAAAGATTTTGCTTACCTAGGTTCAGTCATTACTTCAAATGGAACGTTCAGCCAAGACATCAAGAGATGGCTGAGACTCAGAAGGGCAGCAATGAAAGATCATCAAGAGCAAAGATGTGACTTTGGAGACCAAGGCTAGGATTATCCACACCCTCGTATTCCCAGTTACTCTGTACGGATGTGAAAGTTGGGACAGTGTACAAGGCTGAGAGGAAAAAAACGGATTCATTTGAAATAATGGTGTTGGAGGAGAGCCCTACAGATAACCTGAACCTCCAGAAAGACTAAGATGTAGGTCCTAGAGCAAATTCAGCCTGAACCATTGCTGGAGGCAAAAATGACAAAGCTGAAGCTGTCCTACTTTGGGCACATCATGAGAAGGCAGAGTTCTTCGGAAAAGACAATAATGCTGGGAAAGATAGAAGGCAGCAGGAAAAGAGGAAGACCAAATATGAGAGATGGGATTGACTCCATAAAAGAAGCGATAAGCATGAGACTACAGGAGCTGAACAGGGCAGTTGAGGACAAGACACTGGGGACGTCACTCATTCACTGAGTCGCCAGGAGTCTGGGCTGACTCAATTGGCTTGTTAGCACATAAGAAGTCTGCATACTAAAATCTTTGTTTTTACAGTCTCTTGAGTTTTTCAGACTTGATCAAATAGAAGCAGTTTTTCTACCTTTGCTTTTATCAATGTTTGTAGGGCTGTTGAGATATGGATTCTTGTCCCTAATGAATTAGGCAGGCTACTTAAAGTTTCTGAGCTCAGTTTTCCTTTGTTGTAAAATGAGGAAGTTGTTACAGGTAATCGCCTTCCTAGGACTCCTTCCACTCATAAGTCACACTGACTCTCTGCCCATCAGCTGCAAGGGAAGAATCTTCTCTTCAGAGAAGAGTGATTTTCATTGTACCATAACCATGGAATACTTGGAGACAGTCACTCCTCTTAGTTTAGGTCAAAGCGTGGGCTTCACAGGGGAAAAGTCCTGGTTGCACTCTGCAACTTACTAGTATGTGGCCTGGCACAACTATTAACCTTTCTGAAGCTCAGTTTCCCTATCAGTGAAGTGAGAATAACACAAGCCCTTAAAGAGTTATGGTATTAAACGAGACTAAGTCTAGCTCTAAATACAGTGTTCAGCACAAAACAACTACTCAATCCAAAGTATCTATTTTTTAACATAGAAATAATTGCTCTTCTAACAGCATTTCTCCAAATTTAACATCAACACTATTATAATTACAGTACTTAAATGTTTTAAGGTGTCAATTTGGGCTGACTTGTTTTAAAAAATAATTGGAAAGACATGGGCTCAGAGGATTTTTTTTTTAATTAAGCAAACAATCTGTGTGCTGACCTTTACCCTGTAACTCTTTTATTTAATAACAGTCTATTAATGAACGCAACTTTAAGCTGTTTGATTGCTACTAATGTAATCTAGGCCAAATATGTTACCTAACAGCAGTAATAAACTTTCTTACTCTAGAGAAATTTTAAT